TGATCCTCTTTCCTTTTATTTTTTTTCTCGTAAATTTATATGCCATTCCACGAAGTACCATCCGATATATAATCACAAACATGGTAATTTTCTCAAAAGAGAGTTCGTTAGTCCAATAGTGAACAGTATGCGGATACGAAGATTAAAAGACGGCACGTTTCTTGTAACATCGTAAATGAATAGAGGTCCTAAAAAAGAATTTCATATATATAATTTGTGTCGTAAAATTTATAACTGTCTTCGGTTATAAATTTTACGACAAGTAATTTAACTGACCATTTTAAAAAGCATACAATAAAAGAAGATGTTCACAAATATATTAATCATCTATTATGTTGGCAAGAATAACATAAAAGAGAAACAAAAGTTTTAATTCTAAAATATTAGATAATTGGCCCAGTAATCATCACGTTAACCAAAATGTTTAACTGTGCAAATTTATACTTTTCAGATTGAAAAGTGAGTGATTATTATTTTAGGTTATTTTAAAACAATTTTTTGACAAATAAAAAAACATCACTCTAAAATTCTTATATCTACTGCCGCTATTGAGAAAATCCTTCGTAAAAATTAGAAGGCACAAATGTGCGAGTTATCGCCATGCCCAATAATCGTAACGTTTGCCCAATAATCGTCATAGGTATGTCCCACAAATCGCCACGTGTTTAACTATCACATACACGAACGATGGAATGATTCAGACACATAAATTAATATATGTATATATATGGGTCATTCCACGTCACTCTACCACTTCCCCTACGCAATCAAATGTAATTTATAGGGTACCAAAATTTAGATTGAAATTTAGATTGAAGCTTCTAGTTTTCGATGCCATGTGGCGATTTTGAAAAATATCTAGTAATGACCTTGATTTTATCTGTTAAATAGAAAAGTAATGTTTTTCATTGTTGTAATCTTCACTATTTTTTTGAAAATAAGGTACAATAGTTATTTTCAATGCAATGCAATATTTTGTATGAATCCAAATCTGAAATTAAAATTAATCAATAATATTTGGGTTGCGCGAAAAGTAGTTGAAAAGAGCAAAATTGTCGTTTTCGTCATAATCGTATTCTTTCTGCAAATAACATTTAGTTTTTATTGGTATTCACTTCTTAGAATTATAAATAGTTACATTATTTTTAAGACTGTGCTATTTCCTCTTCTTAACATGATATTTCTATGAAATTAATAAACTATATAACGCATAATTATATTATTTGTCAATATCGAGTTTTAACGGTTTGTCGTGGATTTAGCATAAAAAATTGCATTGAAAATAACTATTGTACCTTATTTTTAAAAAAATAGTGAAGATTGGAATAATGAAAAACATTACTTTTCTATTTAACAAAATCATTATTTGATATTTTTCAAAATCACCACGTGGCATCAAAAAAACTAGCTTCAATCTAAATTTTACTCTATAAGTTACATTTGGTTACAATTTTGGACAGGAGGGTAACAGAGTTGACGTGAAATGACCCATATATATAATAATTT